ACTTTCCATTTAGTATGAAAGTTAAAGAGACAACATTGACCCCTGCACTCCCCATTCCCTCTCCAGTTCCCCTCTAAATCGCATGAGGGATCTCAAATCACTAAGAGAAAGGGTGTGAGGGAAAGAGATTTGCGTGGTGTCTATTTTTTGAGTATCAATGATAATAAGTGTTCTTAGCACGTCAATGGATAAAATAATGAATTTCTATAAATTTATTTTCTCTCTTCTTCTTTTTTTTAATTATTTTACTATTTTCAGAATGCAGCCTATCTTGCAAGGAAACAAAACTTAAGTGTGACTGATGCGGTCATTGATAGTTTGAGCAAAGCAGGTTATGATAAACCAGGGGCTCCAAAAGTTATGATTCAATCCACTAATAGTTCTGTGCTATTGAAATTCAAGGAGAGAGCAAAGTATGAGCTTGTCTACAAGATTGATGAGATAGTCGGTGGTGCTGTTGATTCAGCTATTTCGAATATCAAAAGATTTGCTCATTCTGTGGTTGTCAAAAAAGCATCTGTATATCCTGTTAGTCAAGCATTCGTGATTGGCTCTACAAAGATTGTGTCAAAGTTCAAATCTTCTAATCTTTCTGTTTACGTGGAAACATTCAGCAATGAGTTTGTATCTCAGGCATGGGATTTCATGTCAGATGCTTATGTCGAGATCAACACATTCGTTCAGGATGTTGAAATTGATGGTGTCATCACAGACTTTCCGAAAACAGCTAATAGATACAGAAGTAAGTGCATAACAAATCTTTATATCTTGTTCTTCGAATTGAAGGTGCCACGTCGACGCTTTTGGTTTTGATGTTATATGTTTAATCACGATAGGGTTTAGGTCCCTCTTACTTCTAGTACTTCATTTTAATGTAGTAAATTTTCTCCCACAATTGCTGTAGATATTGACCATATAACAAAAAGTCGACTAATTCTCTTGTTCATTTCTTTCATCATATTTTTGTCGGAGTCTCAACTCATTTTGTTCTCATAGCAAAGTTGGTTTTTTCTTCATACCAAATTCAGCACTACAATGAAGTCTCCCATCTGATTACTGATACTATTGTTCCTCATCCTACCACAGGGAACAGATGCTTAAATTTGGGTGACAGCACACCTTCTTACATGGAACCAGTTGCAGTAAGTAGCCTTTTGCAAGCCATGGACGAATCTTTCTTGCCACCAGCTATGGCTCCAGCCCCTCCCCTGACTGAAGATGAAGTGACAGAACCCCCTTTGCCTCCTCTTTCTAAAATTGCCCCATCTAGCCCTATTAATGGGACTGAACCAGGAGCACAACCACCGCGAAATACACAGGCTAGGGTCTCTGTCTGCTTCTTTTTGTACACTCTCACTGTGCTTGTAGCTTTGCTTCTGCTTTGAATGATGTAGCAGGTTTCCTAATTCCCAGTAAAAACAAATAAAAATTTGGCAGAAGGGTTTAGATATGTTGGCTTTAGCCCTCTAGTTCCCCTATATCCTTTTTGGTTAAGCAGAATGAAGCTTTTGGTTTCAGACTGCTTGAATAACCCTGATTTCATACTTGTAGCAGTAAATTATTTCCATTAGCCGTTGTAGTTCAGTCTATTCCCCTTCTGGCACCTCTTCCTGTTGTAGAAGTAGCATATGGAGTAGGAAACAGCTTTTGGGTAGTAAGAAATGTGATTTCGGTGAATCTTAGGCTGGTGTTGGAAACAATGGTTTCAATGTTTTCTACATTTTGAGTAATTTCTGTTGGATTGCAGAAAACCTAACATCATGTTTTAGCTGAATCTCTGACAATTAAGATGCGTAAGAGTAAATTGCACTAACATTTACTGCCCCCACCCTTCCTCTCTCCGTATCAATGGGGAAAGAAGATTCTTATTCTTTACGTGAATGAGTCGAACTAGTAGTTATTCTCTCAACGCTTTTTCCATATGAAGACTCGAACTAGTTCATGTAGATCGAGTCCTACCACTTAAACCAGACATGCTGCATCTATCACACTTTTCATTAAATATTTAATTGAGATATGAATTTTATATTCAAATTGAGCACCTTTCTCATATTTTCTTCTTGCACTTCAACAACATCATTTTACATTCCCTTTTACTATGTAAAACTTGTCTCGGAATATTATACCTGATACAAACAAATTTTATCAAAATTGTAAAACTGATAGACATAAAAGAAAAGCTTTAAATATGCTTTAAGTATTTGCAAATGTGTTTCTATCTATTTTAAATTCATGTAAAAATATGTATTAGTTTTATATCTTCAATATTTTTCAATCAATTTTTTTCTTTATTATTAGTATGGGTTAGTTTAATACATAAAATAGGAACTATTAATTATTATAATTAAGGTAATAAAGAATATTAAAAACTACGATAAGTAGATTTTTCTAGGTGGGTAATTTAATTAAGTAATGAAAATGAGACAAGTTAATTTGTATTCAATAATTTACTTTCTATATTGTATTTTTACTATAAATAATTATAATTTTATAATTTATTTTCTAATTTTGATATTATAATTTTGAATAACTGTAAAACGATTTATTTTATTATATATTACGAAGAAGGATTTTATCTCTAAAGAAAAACAAATAATTTGTCTTTCGTATTTTAAGAATTACTAACTATAATGTATTAAAATTGTATAAAAGGATATTATTCTTTATTGTAAAATAATTATATAAAATATTTTGTCACCAATCAGTCCCTATCATTTTCTTCAAATAATATTTGATGCATAGAAATTCATTATTAATTAGAAAATAATATAAATTTATTATTCACGATACATTAAAAATAAAAAGTTTGCTTTTTTTTTCTTAATATTTTTTTCAAAATTAGAAAATATTTTAGCCTCTAAATATTAAATTTGAAAGAATGAATGAGTTTTTTTTTTCATATATAGAGTTTAAGATTCAGGATTTACAATTTATCTTTTTAAAATGTTTTAATTTTTTTTTAAGAATTAAAACAATATTTTTTAACTTGGAAGAAAAAATATTTTTTATGATTTAAGAAAAACTATTTTAAATTTATGGAAATAAAAAATATAATTAACTTTAATTATATGTAACTCAAACCCTTTAGCTTTATCCAAATCTGAATTTGTTTAGCCCCTCCACATTCACAAGTGTAGCACGGAAGCTTATATAATCATGGTTCTAATACTTATTTCGATTCATGAAACGTACACGGTTCAGTTCATTCAGTAAAAAAATAATGCTATGTTGAGAATTTATTTATAATAATAGTATAATAAAAGTAAAATATAGAAAATATTATATAATAAAATTCTCAGGAAAACATTTATTGTTAATGAAGACGGAAACATATGATTGTTGTGACGATAATTATTATTATTATTACTATTATTATAATATTGATAACGAGATGATTAAATAATATTAAAATTATTGTAAAATGATGGGGGAGAGGTTAGCAACAAACAATATCATTGGTGATGATGATACCAATAATTAGTTTCAAGCAAAGTGGATTAATAGAATCTATTTAAATAAATTATATAAAATAAATGAGTTTTTTAAGATTTGTATGGAACATAGAGTTGAGTTCACCAAATAAATATCCTATAAAAATGGACTATAATTTGTTAGGTCTATAAACTTAATAGATTAATCCTATTAACAATGAGGTGGGTGAAGATAATAAAAATACCATGAAGATGCTAATAATGATAAAAAATATGAAGTGATAATAAAATAATAGTAATTACAATAATTGTAAAATTGGTAAAACAATAATAATAGTAGTAAAAGAGATAACCTAAATAATTATTATTTTTTATAAAAACAAATATATTTTTATATTGTTTTGTTTGTATTTATTTGATATTTTTAGCAACAACTAAAATTAATAAATGAATTAAATCACTAAATACTTTTAGAATATATATATATATATATATATATATATATATATATTATAAGCCTAAATATGACAAATTTTATTTGAAATTAATAATATAATAATAGATAATCTATGTTAATTGATATTATGAACAATATGCAATATACAATTTAATCAAGAAATAACAAGTAAATGATGTGTGAGAAAAAAATGAGTTTTTTAAATTATAGACAACTTTAATTTTAAATTTAGAACTAATATTCGTTCATAGAAGAAGTCTCTCTATTTCGTGTAAGTATTTTTAACCTATTTTCTTTTACAAGTTTATTTATTTTAACATAATTTTAATATGTATTTTAAAATTAATCAAATCAATTACAATTTTTTATTTATTTCTTTTCTTTTTACCTTTTTAATAAAAAATATCACTCTTTATTTTATTTATCTTGCTTTCTTTGTTTTTAGGCTCTTCACTCTTCTTCCTTAAATTCAAACAAAATATTATTTACATTTTCTTTTCACTCTTTTTTTTTTATTTATAACTCAAAAAATTTGGTTTTTCATTTTATTTCTCTCACTTTTTCTCCCTCAAGTTATATTATTTAATTCAAAGAAAACATTAAACTCAAATCATCATACTGAATCTATTGATTTCTGAATGATTGAAATCAATGTATTCCTATTAAACTTTAATTAATATTTATATGAAACAAGAAAGATATCTATATTTCCATATTGAGTGCTATTCATTCATGACAAATTTGCTAGATTGAAGATTTTTTATTTCCCTTCCGGGAACTCTCAGTTTGAACGAAACAGCCACGTGGCATTCATGTAATGGCTTAGATGGATCCCCTGAACTGCACATCATCACTGCGTTATGCTGACGTTCACAAGAACTCACAGAACAAATTTTCCTTCTTTCATACAAACACTTTCTTTCTCATTAATTTGACCTCTCCAAAGGGTTACTCCATTTCTCTCTCTCTCTCTCTCTCTCTCTCTCTCTCTCTCTCTCTCTCTCTCTTATTCTCCACGCATGCCACCTTCCTATTTATACCTTCAACCATTTTCTCTGGTTCCTCACACTTTTTCAGCAATCTAAGATTCTTGTTTTGCACCATTTCACAAAATGCTACAGAGAAAAGGTTGCAGTTTTTTTAATGAGCCTCGTCTTGTTGCCAAGAAATTCTTGGCAAGACCTCAGCATGAAGGTGTTGGGGCTGTTGTTAGAAGAAGCATAGGAAGGTGAGTATTTTTTTTTTTAGTTTGGATTAAAAGTTTGCATTCAATGCAAAGTTGAGATCTTTTAGTTGATTCATTAAGTGGGTTTGATCAGGTTTGAGCTCAAGTACTTTGATCCCTTCCTTGTGTTGGATGAATTCTCAGGTGAGAGAGTCTCTGTTTTTTGCTCTGTTTTCTTGCAGGGGAAACAAGTGTGTATATTTTTTGTTTTCTAAGAATGTAAAATTTTGTAACATTGCAGTTACTGCTCCTGCTGGTTTTCCTGATCATCCCCATAGAGGTTTGAAAATTGGTCTTTTTCTTTGCCATTCTTCTTTTGTTATTGAGAAAATTTTCTCTGATGAGTTATAATGACTCCCACGTTCATTTTTTGTGATGTTTTTCGTGAACAGGCTTTGAGACAGTCACATACATGTTGCAGGTAGAGCAAGCTGAATGATTCAATTGACAAAACTCTTCTCTCACGCTCAATTTTCTCAATGGAAAACATCTCATGCTGCCTATATAACTGTTTGCAATCATTGGACAAATACTTTTATTAGATATTTGACATAGAAATCCCTTTTTAAAGTTAGGAACATATTATTTTAATGGACTAACAATGGTCATCATAAAGGGTTACAGAATGAAATATAAAAGGAAACTAAAGACTTGTTTGATTATCCTTTTGAAAAACAATTCTTAATTTTCTAAACTATGCCAATAGATAGTTGCTAGAAGATGACATTGTTTATCAGGCATCCTCAAAAACACTTGAACAAAAACATTTGAGGAAATTAGAAGATGAAACTACATGTCTTAGTTGTTTCCATATTTTGGTTTCTAAAATACTTATTTTGAACAAGAATTTTCAAAACTCACTGCTTTGGATGAAAAATGAATTGATGAGGAGCCTCTAATTAATTTAGGACAGCCATATAACCATAAAAAAGTGAAAGAGAATTAGTCATTTCCTAGAAGATTTGGTTTTCTGATTTGAAGTTTTGAACTCTAATCAGATATTATCAACTCGCATGCCAAAAAATAAGTTAAAAATCAATGCTCGGTTGCCAAATCAGTCATATTAATTAATGATATGTGAACACAACCAAGAAAGAATTGTCCATAAAAGCTGGTGACATAAACAAAAGGGCAAGAATGATCCCACATGGTAGTGTATTGTTTCTGCTTCTAGAATACCAACTTGTACCTAAACCTGTGAAGGTGCTATGCAAGTCCCTTCCCTTGTGCTTGTGCATTTATTTATTATTACTAGTACAATCTTTTGTCTCTTTCAGGGAGCTATCACGCATGAAGATTTTGAAGGACACAAGGGGACAATAGAAGCTGGTGACTTGCAATGGATGACTGCAGGAAGAGGGATCGTCCACTCAGAAATGCCTGCTGCTCAAGGAACTCAAAAGGGTTTTCAATTGTGGATCAACCTTGCTTCCAAATATAAAATGTTAGTGAATAAATCCCCTTTCTTTCTCATTGATTTTGACTTGGATTACTTCAAAAACTTTGAAGTTCTTAGTCAGTCTTTTCCACTTATAAGCATTAACTTGTTCATTTTTACATCATATAAAATTTTAGCTAACAGTTTTAACATGTAATGGTTTTTTAACAAGACATTATTATGTTTCATTAGATCTTACCTAGCACACTTTTGATAAGATTTGAATAAGAAAGATATTACAATAATGGTATTAGAAGTAACCATCAAGGAGAAGACTTTTTAGCCTTTTCTGTTTTCTCTGATTCTCAAACAACAACCTTAGCCTTGGCCTCAGGGTTAGATGACATAGTTCTTGCGTCATTGATCATCATTCTTATGTCATTGAATGACCCTTTAGTTCGGATGATGCTTACCATCAATGAGACAAAAAGGGATTCCTCTCTTTACAAAGAAAAAAGAGTCAAATATAAGTATTACTTTTGGAAATAATATATACCTTGCTTTACTCTCACATGCCACTTTTTCTCATGATTCCCATGCCATCATGGACCATTTCCTAGAAGTGCCTTTGAGTAGCTGCATGATGCAAGTGTGCATAACAGTTTGAAATTGCAAGCATATGTGCCTCTCATTCATATTCCGTGTGATGATGGTAACTTCAATAATAAAGGCAACACAACACCACTTTTAATTTCAAAGTTGTCAGGTTTTGAGTGACCCAATATAGTAGACGTAGTCTACTTTTCTCTCTACAGCTTTTTGCAAGTACTTGTTATGCTATAAGACATCATTCTTCAAGTTGGCTTTTGGCCCTGTTTAAGAAAGGAATAGGACTCTGTCATGTCAGTTCTGGTCCTATTATAAATGACAAAGATATGAAATAATCATAGCAGATCGACCATGTGAATCCTTCACTACTTTTTCTTTCATATTTTCATCTTAGGGTTGGTTTTGGAGATTTTCTTTCAAAAACACGATTAAAAAAGAAAAAAATGAAGTAACTTTTTTGGATGTACTATTCTAGGATTGAACCAAGGTATCAAGAAGTGTTGAGTAAGGACATAGCAGAAGCTGAGGAAGATGGTGTGAAGGTTAGAGTTATTGCTGGGGAAGCATTAGGGATAAAGTCTCCAATATACACAAGGACACCAACCATGTTCTTGGACTTCTCTCTCAAACCTGGAGGTCACTTGCAACAACCTATACCAAAACCTTGGAATGCTTTTGTGTATATATTGGAAGGAGAAGGTATCTTTGGAAACATGAAATCTCAGCCTTCAAACTCTCACCATATTCTTCTTCTTGGTCATGGGGATGGCCTAGAGGCATGGAACAAGTCTTCTAAACTCCTTAGGTTCATTTTGGTTGGAGCAGAACCTTTGGGGGAACCTCTAGTGCAATTTGGACCCTTTGTGATGAACACTCAAGAAGAGATTGATCAAACCATTCATGATTTCGAGAACTTTGCTAACGGATTTGAGAAAGCAAGACATTGGAGATCTGAAAACGAAATTCACTAAAAATCTTAGTATATTCTATTTTATTAGCATTAATCATTAGTTTGTTTGCATAACAAGGAGTGAGGATACATCAATGTATGTATTGTATCATGAAATTAATGAATTAGATGAAGCATTTTTATGTTTCTTTTTCCAATTAAAAAAAAATAAAAGAAAAAAGGTTTAGCAACCACTAAACTAAGAAAGACTCTAGTTTTCTTTGTTGTACATCCTTATAAAGATGTGCTCAAAATTTGATAAACTAAGTGAAGGTTATTACGTTAATTTATTGAATAAAAATATTTATCAAAGTTAATTCAATAACTAATAATCTAAAATCAAGTACACACTTTTAGGGTATGTGAGGAAAGAAAAAGAAAAAAAGAGAAAGAAAATGAAGAAAATAAATGAAAAATATTATTATTAGTTTCATAGAAAAGTGATATAAAAATGAAAAACAAAATAATTTTATATAATTATAAATTAATTTTTATTATTAAATAACTTTTAAAAGTAATATTTTATATTATATATCTATTTTTTAATAATATATTTTAATATGTAATTATAAAGTATTTTTATTATATATATATTATTTAAAATTAAATTAATAAAATAATATTATATTATAAACAAAAAAATATTAAATTATTTATTTATTTTTTATAATTACTTTCATATTTATAATATTTTATTAAAATAATAATTATATATATATATATATATATTAAAATTGTATATGTAAAAATAATAATAAATTATTTAAATTAAAGTAATTTTGTAAATAATATTTTTAGTTATTTTCTAAAAGAAAAATAAATGTTTTCATTACATTAAAAACTAATTTTTTATTTTTCTTTGATTAAAAGAGTGTAAATCAATACAAATCTCTCTCTTTTTCTTTTTTTCTTTCCCATTCTCACACCCTTTCTCCCTTCAACATATTATTAATGACCATAAAATGACCAAATATTTTTCCCAATTTTCTCATCATTCTTCTTTCCACCATTACCAACTATCCACCACCCTTTTTACTCTTCGTCTTGTGTTTGGATAAAAAAAAATTACAATTTTAAAAAATTCAAATAAATTGAATTTCAGTAATTCGACTTTTAAAAAAAATTAGATAATTAAATTCAAATTTAATTTTTTTAAATATTTTAATTACCCTCAAATATAAAAATATCAATCGCAAAAATGACCACATATAATACAATCGACCTTGATTGATAAATAATTTCCATAAACATCGCATAAAATAATTAGTATAGAATTCAACCGAAAAAAATTGATACCCAAAATAGATTTACTGATATTATGTGATAAAATTATTACATTAAAAAATAATTAATTATAAACAGAAGCGAAAAAAAATATATTAAATCAATCAATAAATAACTTTTTAAAGGGTCACTAATATATTTTTTATAATAAAATCTTAAGAGAATATCTACCTTTGGGCCTGTCGGCCCAATTAGCTTTTTCTTAGTTTCGATTGAATATAAATATAAAATAATAATCATATTTTGGTTTCGTTCCTTTTACGAATGCGATTATGCAACAGTGCTTTTATTTATTTTTCTTTATTAATATTAATAAGCTGATAAGAACACATTAATAATAAATTGCTGCAGAATGATTCTTAACGATGAAGTTTTTAGCAAAATTCACACTATAACTCTTTTTACACAATTAATTTATTACAAATAATATTTTATATTAAATACTCTATCAAAGATTTAAAATTGAAAAACCCAGAAAAATTATGAAAAAATAAAATATTTTATTTACTATTTTAAAGGACTATCAAGATTAAGATTTGAATGAGTTAGTAATAAACAATAAGATTCTGAATGATAATTAAAGTAACATTTTAAAATGAATTATTATGCAATATTACACATTGTATTGCTGGAAAAAAATATTCATGTCTTACAATTTATGCCATATGTATAATTATAAAGGAGATTCGTTTTGTAATTGTTATTTTAACGTATTTAAAAAAATAATAAAAGCATGACAAAGAGAAAAAAATATATTTAAAAATATATAAAAATAAATTAATTATATAAAAAATATAAATATGAAAAAAAATTAGTGACTATATTTTCAATAATTTTATTAACTATTATAATGATATGACCGATATTTTTTTAACATGTATTCTTCAAGTGTCAAAATATTAAAATTGAATGTTCATGTTAACCAATGGAGAAAATGATAGAAGCTTAAAAATTATTTGTTATGTTAATGAGATCAATGCTAAAATTGATTATAATTTGGATAGATATGTTATCTTTAATTATAAATAATAGCATTCTTAAAATAGGTTAAACTAATTCAGTAATAGAAATATTTTAAATTAATTTAACAATATCTAGATATTATCCAAATAAAATATATAAATTTTAAATATAAATAATCATTTAAAAAAATTCAAAGTGAAAGATATTTTCCTTACTCTCATAATTATAATATAAATAAATTAAATAATTAAATTTGATCAAACATTAAACCTCAGAGAATCTTGATCCGTCTCTTTCCTTACCAAACTTTGGTTGTTTGTTTTATCAATTTCTTTGTGTTCTTCGTTGGTGGAAGAAAAACTTGGGAAGGAAGAGGGACAAAATTTACGTCACCATGCCACATGGCACAACCCCATTGGTTTTTATTTGTTTGAGAAAATCACGCATCCGTTTCTCCCACAACACAACACTGTCGTCGCCGGAGAGAGAAACAGAGAGAAGAAGAAGCCATGAACAGAAGAACAACGTTGCTTGTTCGAACCCTCCTGTTCCTCTTCCTCCTCAACTCTTTCTCTCTCTTCATCTACTTCACCCACTACCACTCTTCAAAACCCTCTTCATCATCATCATCATCGTCGTCATCATCTTCTTCCTTGAAAGTCAACACCTCTCTCACACCCTTTTCCCACCAAACGCACTATTCAAAGCCATGGCCTATTCTCCCCTCTTACCTCCCCTGGTTGGGGAACCCCACTGCGCCTCTCCGCTCCTGCGAGGCTTACTTCGGGAACGGCTTCACGGGCCGCCGAGACCTACTCCACCCCCGAGCCGGCGCCGGGTGGTTCCGGTGCTGGCGCAGTGACACTCTCCAGAGCTCCGTGTGTGAGGGGGGCCGACTGCGCATGGTGCCGGAGAGGATCACGATGGCGGCTGGCGGGGAGAGTTTGACCGCGGTGATTGGGAGGAGGGAGGAGGAGGAGCTGCCGGCGTTTCAAAACGGTGCTTTTGAGGTTGATGGGGGTGGATTCGTTGACCGGGAGTTTCTGGTGGACCGAGAGTTTTTGGATCGGTTTGTACCGAGGGGAGAGGTCACGAGGCACACCATGAGGGACTTGATCGGCAAGATTAGGATCGTGGGAGGGAAGGATTTTGAATGTGATGAGGTGAGGGTAGTGGAAAGTTTGGGTTTAATGTGGTTTTGCTCATGTGGATGTTTGTTGTTTAGTGGTTGGGTTGTTGTTGGCAAGCTTTTAGATTGTTGTGGTTTCATGCGTTATTTGATCTTGATAGAAATTGTGGATAAATGTAACCGATTTTGCCATAACTGTAGGCACAGACACTTCAAACACCTTGATATTGTGATAAGTTCGGATAAATGAAACTGATTTGGCCATAGTTGTAGACGTAGACACCTCGTAAACCTTAATGTTGCGATTGTGAACTGATTTTTAAAACCTTAGTTGTAGGGTTTACGGTTACTAAGTTTTTTACTTTGGCTTGGGTGGATATTTTACTTCTTTTTTCTTCAGGGTTTTACTTGTGGCTATGGTGATGGGATGTTTGAGTGATGTATGAGATACACCATGCCGGATTTGATTAGTGAGATTCGGATCATGGGGGGGAAGGACTTTGAGTGTGATGAGGTGACGGGTGTGGGAAGTTTGAATTTTTATGGCTTTGATCATATGGGTGTTTATAGTTGGGGGTTGGAGCAGGGTTTCTAATTTTGGACCCGGGAGAATGTTTGAGGGTTTAGTGGTGTATGTGGTGCTTGGATTGAGTGGGGATTGTTGTGGAATTTATAACTGTTTTGGGGCGTTTAATGTGCAATGGTTGGGTAAGATTGGTGATTCTGATCAAGTTTAGGGGCTTTGACTACCTTAGAGATGCAAGTATTCTATTCTTTGTGTAGTGAATGTGTATGAGATATCCAATTGATGAAGCTTATCATTCCCCGTATACTTTCTCTAGTTGTTTTAGCTACTAGTTTTCACAATTGCCTTCTCTTGACAAAGTTTTTTGCTTTATTGTTGCCTTTCTTTCTACAATTTTATTTTTCCGCGTGTTTGACAAGAGGGTTTCTACTTGCAGTGGATTGAGGAGCCAACACTTCTGGTGACACGTTTTGAGTATGCTAATCTTTTTCACACTGTTACAGACTGGTACAGTGCTTATGTTTCTTCTAGAGTCGTTGGTCTACCTAATCGACCTCATTTGATCTTTGTTGATGGCCACTGTATGGTATGCACAATCAGTTTTTGTCAATTTGTTTCATTTACTTTCAACATTCTTCTGGTGTTGCTTTGCATCCTATGAAAACACAAAACGCATACAGCATGTAGTATTTTTTATGCTGTTGGTCCGCGTACATTTGACCACTTACAGAACTTTTGGCATTAGATGTTGTTTAAGCACCAAAAATGGAGGTGAAATCTCGGATTTTGAAATGCAAAAAATGTGAAAAAATTAAGAGGTTAATAACTATGTGGGAAGTTTTGTAACCCAATTTGAAATTAACAAGTAGTTGTTGATATTGTTAACTTAGAATGTTCTTCTGGAATCTGGATGCTTTTTGCTTTCTTCCGTAAAAGGAACTGATTGGACCAAGCTGGGTTTCCGTATCTAAATAAATTGAATCAACAGTGGCACTATATCTTTGGATTTCATGAACTTTTTGGTAGGAAACTGGAATAAAAATATAATTCTAAACATTGGTGTTACTTGACCTTTTTTTTGTTTAACTTTTCTTGCTTCTCCTTTAATTTTTGCATTTCCAAAACATGTACAATTGTTTTGGTATTTTGTTATTCTTTACGAAGGAGTGGTTAGACTTTGGTACATACATAGTTTACCAATTCAAAGTATAATATTTCAAATTCCAAGTCTCAACAATTCTACAATACCCTCTTATCAAGTCTCAACAACACGATTATTATGAGTGTTTTTAGTAGATATGAGTGTTGACTTTTTAAAATTTTTAACTTTGCAAGATGTTGCCTAAATATAACTATGTTCAGTGGTTACCAAAACGTTCAGGCTCCTCTTGAAGAGACATGGAAGGCCTTATTCTCAAGCCTCAAATATGCCAAAAACTTCAGTGGTTCAGTTTGTTTTCGTCATGCTATTCTCTCACCTTTGGGATATGAGACAGCATTGTTTAAAGGACTAACAGAAGATATTGATTGTTATGGAGCTCCTGCACAAGAACTGTGGCAAAACCCTGATGACCACAAAACTGCACGCCTTTCTGAGTTTGGAGAAATGATCAGAGCAGCATTCGGGTTACCTTTAAACATACACCATGGTGGAAAACCATTCTTTGGACACAATGTCCTCTTTGTTCGTCGAGAAGATTATTTAGCTCATCCACGACACGGTGGTAAAGTTGAATCACGACTAAGTAACGAGCAAGAAGTGTTTGAGTCCTTGAAGAGCTGGGTATCCAGTTATAAAGGGTGTAAAATTTACCTTGTCAATGGATTGTTCGCTCACATGTCAATGAAGGATCAGGTTCGAGCCATTCAAGATGCATCAGTCATCATTGGTGCGCATGGTGCCGGTCTTACTCATATAGTATCTGCATTGCCTAACACTGTGATTCTGGAGATCATTAGCAGCCAATTCAGACGCCCCCATTTTGCATATATTGCACGGTGGAAAGGGTTGGAGTATCATGCAATCAACCTCCCCGGATCACATGCCGATCCCGGAACCGTGATCAAGGAGCTGGCTGACATAATGAAAAGCCTTGGATGTTGAGTGTCTTTGGGGTTGAAACGGTTGATGATATCGGAGTTTGAGTAGAGGAATGGAAGTTGATCTTTAATTTTTATATGATTCACATCTCATATGTGGCTTGCAATGATTTACCCTTAATTGCAGCCAGTTTGGTTACTTCTAAGTGATACTAAGTTGCTGATATCTTACTGGAAAAGAAGTAGCATAACTCTTCTAAACTGAATTTAACTTGACAATTCTACATCACCCTTGAAGGTTGCAGAATCAATGCCATGAGAGAAAGTTTCATTTGTCTTGGTTTACATAGCATGGTGGATAGTTAATACCTGGCATTTTCGGTGATTTTTGTTTCCTTCACCTGCTCCTTGTTCCAAGTTGTATACAGAAGAGAGGTCTCAAATTTTGTACCTGTACATTATTGATTTTTTTCCCTCTCAAGGCTTTGTTGTAAAATAGGTTTTATGCATTAGCTGATTCTTGTTTTTTTCTCTGACTAATTTTGATACAGATATAACGTTACTTAATGTTAAGGTACACCCATACAAATTGCATTTGAACTGGGTGACAAACACTTCTGGGAAGACAAATTTCATATTTGTTATTTGTTATTAGGGTTTTGTTGATGCATGTCATGAGAGTATGCTGAGAATTTATGTTACACCATCTTAATATAAGAACTAAATGCATTTTGGATTATTCAGATAATAAATGCATCATTCAATGTCGTTTAATGAACTATGTTTTTTATTTGTTACTCCTGGATAATTGGAATTTAATTGTCTTGCTGTAACTTTTAGTGGAGGCATATGGCAACAAAATCATTTAACTGCATGAATACGAACAGTGTTTTAGTCATGTCGTGTAGTTAATAATTAATAGATTATTTTATTAATTTTTCTGTTTAGACGTTACTTAATAGAACTTAGGAGTTTATAAGTTATTACTTATTAATTTTTTATTATGTCACGAAACTTGTTTTTATTATTATAATATCATTTTATATATAATAACGCTAATATTACCTTTATAATAATTATTTTAAATGTTTTTTGAACTTTAAGTAATTAAAAAATCTCTAAGCTTATAGGCAGACTGATTTATGTAATTATTATTTATTATTATTATTATTATTATTATTATTATTATTATTATTATTATTATTATTATTATTATTATTATTATTATTATTATTATTATTATTATTCGCATAATGAGTTTATAAGTATCGAAGGATAAAATTACGTCCATGAAAATAGATTTATATCATGGGCCGATTAGTTTTAAGGTTTTTTTATCAAATAATTATTTGTTTTAAATAAACAACGCATTTTATTTTATGTGTTACAAATTTTCAAAATTATCACAAGCAAAAAATAATAATAAATTTGATTATAATAAAAAAGCTATTTAAAAAGATTTCTCATGAATTTGATCATTTTTTTAAAAGACTTTTCTAATTGTAAGCCAAATGAACTCCTTAAAAAAAAAAAAAACTTTAAAACATTATTAAATTATTTTATCTCCAATCACTTCATTTTTAATCTTAAAATAAATAGTCTTATATAAACCAACTTAGATTTTATAAAACTTAATATACATTTTTCTCTTATATAATACTAATTGTAATTTTTTTAATCTATGAATACAGTCTTTCAAACTATTTTAGATAGAATTAAGCAAAAATTAATTAAAAATTGTTTTTTTACTAATGATTGAATGAAGACTATGATTAACACTTGGTAAATATTACTTTCATAAAGTTTTTGCCTTTTTATATTATTTGTCTCTACATAAAACTTCTTGTTTTTTTTTTTTTTTTATACATTGGTTGATTAACCAATCACATATTTTGATATATCCATACATCTCAGATATCCTAAAATGTTAAATAAATTAAGAGACTAGTAAAGCATACTTTAAATAAGGACATTAATTAAAAAAAAAAAAAGTAGCCTTTGACATTTAACACATTGAAATACTTTGAACAAGAGACAAGCATGAAGCGCTTAGTGTATAAGCAGTTTCACTATCCTATGATCAGAGAGAAAGTAATCACTTTCAAAACACACAGCGCTTGAATCTTACCAACAACCACAACCCAAAACCTGATTCTGCACTTACACGGTACCCAATTAACCAGCTATCAATAAATATAGACAAATATTGCATCTTCAAATTCTTCATTTTTTCCCAACAACACAACACCCAAAATCAAATTTATGTTTAGTTTGATATGCCTGAACATCTAATTTTCATGGTGAAGCCAATTTCCAATTCATTTATGGTTTAGTAGAATCACGTTGCTTGTGCTGTTGTTCATCTTTTTCTTGTCTATTATGATGCATGATACATGTTTGATGAAATGCCGTCAATGGTGATCAATTTGTTTCTACTTTCATTTTGATTCTTTTTGAGTTACAAGTTGCCACTGCATTACTTTCTGTTATTCCTAAAACATAAATGAAAAGTTGTCTTAGATTCTGTGTTAACTTCTGTGCAGTATGAAAGGTACATTTATGTTATCAGAGACATGGTGAAACAAATATTTTGTGTGTGGTTTCACATGGTATAAACTTTTGGAACGGTTAATTCAATAGTAGTAGCATTAAGAGTTATAGATTTTTATCCTTTGAGTTATTGATGTATGTTTTGATGACAGTTGTGATAGGTGGTTGAACAAATGGTGCTGTGTTTTCCCTCCACACCCAAGAAACTGGCCATGACCATAGCATGCTTCGTTTCCGGTGCTGCCATTTTAGCTGTTGGAGTACACTTATCTTATGTCAATGTTGCTCCCCAACAAGCTCGAACCAAAGCTCGCAATGATTTTGTCATGGAGTTTTTGAAAAAGAAGTATGGTTATACTTCTCCATATGAGAAATTGGCTCGCAATGATTCTCATGATAAGATAACGCAGGTATCCTCTACGAGAGACCTATATGCTCAGGCTCGCAATGAGTTGGTTAAAGAGACATTTAGTAACCTTGGATTTAAAAAGTAGAAGAGAGGTTCTGAAATTTTTGGTTTTCATACTTGCTCCTTGTGATTCCTAAATCAATGAAGAATAAATCTTGTTGCTAATGCTATCAGCAGACACATCTTCATGTTTATACCAGTACATGAGTTTCTGTATTGTTTGTAGTTGCGCTACAGTATGAGTTTTCTAATTTCTGGCTCCAAATTTGTTAACTTTCGTGGTGATCCTTGCCAATGTTTGTAACTATTTGATCTGTTTTTCTTCAAATTCTTTCATGATGCCTCAAATTGGTTTCTCCAGTATATGAGATTCACTACTTATCTTTTGCTCTATAATGCAAAGGAGAAAATACGTGGTCTTCTATATAAAATAAAAATAAAAATCAAACAAGCATTAATATCTATCTGATTTTAACTTATTTAAAAAACTGATTAACTTATGCATTACAAAAAATAGTTTATTCTAACCTTCATATTTTTTTTAATAAATAATTAAGAAAAAGATTTGAATCTGCTAGCAATTACTGTCAATAAGAAAAGTCTTCACGTTTGGCCAGTAATTAATTTAAAACGGGTGTTTCCAGTGTCTTAAAGTAATAAAAGCCAGTTTTGTAGCTTCTTTAAGAAGAAAACGAACAGAAGCATCAAAGTTAAAAATAATCTCATATTACAATTTATATTATTCATTAAAAATTCAAAATATGAATTATATACTTAAAATACTAATTTTTTTATTTATTATAAGTTCAATATTAAATCATAAATAATAATGGTATAAATATTTATTCTATACCATGCACATGGTCAATGCTAATTTTGAAAAACCAAAACCAAACCAAGATTCACATATTTGGTTAACCTGTTATTAAGATATTAAGAAGACATGTGTTGCTTTTAGTCTTTTCCAGGCAAAGCATATTGTCCAATGTCCATATCAGAGAAATTGTGAGGTAGTGGAAGTGAGAATCAGCAACCATACTCTACTTTTTCAAGTCTTTTAAAAAAGTAACATCTCCATTTCACAAACAAATATTTTAATACTGCACAGTGAATATATATAAACAAATGCAAAAACAAGGATGTATAGTGTGAACTGACAGAATCCCTACTTGAAGTGTTACCCTTTCATTCTAAATGTAAAGCATAGGATTTGCAAACTGTTGCAAGTGTAGCTGGGTAAGGAAGTGATTCTAACTTTGCGTTGTCTTTAGGGGAAGCATCTCCAACTCATATATGTGACAGTGCAGAATGAACCTGCTTGTGCATGTTTCCATTCCCCTTCTGCAACTTCTAGTTAACCATTGAACTAGGTTTCAGCTTGCCTAACCACTACAAAGTTTGCAGTTTATAAGGCATTGAAGTTCACTCATGTCTTTCGATGATGTTAAGGCTGCTGCTACTGAGTTCGGTACGTATTTGCTATATGTATACATATATATATTTTATAGTTTTCATATTTTCAGATTTTCAGATTTTGGTACCAGTAATTTTTCTTCACCTTGTGTTCCCAAAGTTTCATAATAGGCCAATGTGTCAATAAACTAAACTTTAGTATCAGAGATAGGAAACATTTGCTTTTGATAAAAGATTGAAGAGGTTAAATCCAAATAAATAAAAAACATGAGTCTCGATGATGTAAATACAAGGCTCTACCCATATAGTCAGACCAATGACGGGGACCAAAATCAGGCAGAAAGAGATGTGATGGGAATCAAAACCAAAATATATGAAATTGGTTTAGATCAAATAAATGCAAAATATAATTTAGAGAGAAAAATATAATCCTCCCCTTTCTAAATTTGATGTCTAATATCCGTTTGTTGAAAAGCTCAACTCTTCTACTTGTAAACTTGCTTCATATCATGATATACCTCAATGTTCTTCAGTGAGAACAGACATAAAAGCATGCTCATTAAGTGGTGTTTTGCAAAGAAATGTTGAACCTTTTAGCCATTATATTTAGCCATACATTCCTAAAACATTAATCTATTTGATTGGCTGAAGTTTATTGAAAACTACAAAAATTACGAGTAAAGTTCAATAACTACGGAGTGACACCTACACAATTTTGTGATTTCCAACAAATGCCAATCAGCAGGAAAGAGTGTATTAGAAAGAGAGCGTTACAGGTGTGTATTGTTAGCATTTCTCATGTTTTCATGCTTCAATAGGAACTCATATTGTTGCATTTATTGTCAAAAAAGCTAGGGGATTTAATCACAGTTACTACCACCCGTTGCACATAGCAATACTAAAAGGAGATTGGAAATCTACAAAGGCTTTTATTGACAATGACCCAAGTGCATTGACTGCAAAGATAACCATACTAGGCAGGACTGCACTGCATGTTGCAGCTGTAGGAGGGCAGTGGCAAATTGTTGAGAAGTTGGTGCAACATGTTCCTACACAAGCACTTGCAGAGCTGGACTTGATGGGTTGTACTTGCCTTCACTATGTTGCAATGGGTGAAAGCAGAAGTGCTGCCAAGGCATTGGTGGCTAAAAGTCCTTCTCTGACACAACTCACCGACTTTAAAGGATTCACACCACTTACCTACAGCATTACCTCAGCTAGATGCAAAGAAATGGTATGGTTCTTTGTTTTGAATACTACAGATGAGAGACCTGGCTCTCCATTCTCTGGTCCTTCTGCTGGTCAACTTGTTGCTTTGCTTACTGCTGCAGGATTTCATGGTAAACAATTATTTTTTCTCAGCAAATAAAGATATAAATAAACTTTATCCAGACTCCCACATAATGCATCTCCACCACCCATATTCATCAATAAGCACATCTAACTACACTACTCCTCCTGCATGTCCCTTTTTCCTGTTTTACATACCAAAATAATTACACAAGGTAAATTACATTACCGAATAATATTTCATCAGAGAGCACACACTTGTTTCCGATATCTTTTCCTTCCTTGGAGTTACCTTCGTACAAATCATTACTTTCTCTCCATATCCACGCGTCCCTATTTTGTAATAGACACACCACATGACTTATTTTTAAAATGCTTTGCTGAATAGTTTATATGTATTTTCAGGATCCTGATGTATGAGCAATGATTTAATTAAAATCTTAGACCCGTTTGTTTTGAGAAGAGTGATTTCTAACTGGTTGACAGTACAATATAATAGTTCACAGACAATAACTCGAGTAACTATGTTCTCATGAAAATGTTAGTCTTCATTTTGTTCTCTATTTTTAAAATTTTGTAAAGAAAGTTGTAAAAACAACATGAAAATAAAGATGTGACAAAATGGTAAAAACAACAAGCTTCTGTTTTCACCATTCCTATACAAAACATTGAAATTAGGAAACAAAGAATAATGTGTCATTTTTATAATTATTTGTGAAAACAAAACATTTTCTCTGACTCAACAGATCCTTACATTTTCTTTGAATTTTCCATGTAAGTAGAATTTACTTGAACAACTGAAGAATAGTGCCGTTATTCTACTCTTCAAATTGATTTTAGTTGTTTCAGGCTTTCAGAACTACATTTTTATATATCTAATGCACCATAAAGTCAGAGTAATTTACTACAAGATTACCAAACTATTCAAACATCCACACACACCCTGCTTCATGCTTTAGAATAATTATCAATTATGCTACTTTAATAACCAAGCATACAAAACAGATTATTATCCATGTGTTTGTACCCTGTTATTTATATTTATAACTAGTATTTTGGCTCTCCCTTGTATAGATGTCACTTTATATCTTCTCCAGCGCTACCCAAATTTGGCTACTCTCTCAGATTCAACGGGAAGCATTATACTTAATGTTTTGTCAAAACTGCCCTCGGACTTTCAAAGTGGGAGTAAGCTTGGGTTTTGGAAAAGATGCATTTACCACTGTAAGTACCCTATTTTAATATTATTCTTTTGTTACATGCTTCATTGCAATACACTTCTGCCTAAATGACATAAACTTTCCTCTTCAATTATATTAGCTGTGCCAGATGAACATGAGTTTTTACCACCAAGACATTTGAGAGGAAATGTGAAAGATTCTTTTGGGAATTCAAGCCATAACCAATCTTATTTTGGAAGTACAATATGGAATGGAATTCAGAATATTGGTATGTTGTACTTCTCCAGTAGAGCATTTCAATCTGTTCTTAAACACTTGGTTTCTCCTTTTCATTTTTATAACTTTAGTTAAAACAAATACAAAACTTCATGTGCAGTTCCTGGCATGAAGCGTGTCAGAGAGGCAAAGTTGAGACATATATCTGCTGAACGATTGGTGGAACTCGTTTGCACACAGGTTTCAATAATGAATGACACTGAATTCTGGCAGTCTTTTGTGAGTGCCGACATTGTTTTCAATGCCACATCATCCGGCATAGTTGAAATTTTAAGGATCTGTTTCCAGTTTTTTCCTGATTTGGTTTGGACTCACATGCCAAATGAAGGATATGTAGCTCAAATTGCCATCAAGTATAGGCAAGAGAAGGTTTTTAGTCTTCTATGCAAGATGCCTATAGTTTGCAAGTTTTTAATCCTGGCATTAGATGAATCACAAAACACCACATCACATCTAGCAGCAAGGTTTGCTTCTCCACAACAGGCATCAATTTCTGGTGCTGCCTTTCAAATGCAAAAAGAGTTGCAGTGGTTTAAGGTTTGTTTAATCTCATAACCCCCTTATTAGCAATTTTGAAAATCAATTATACTAAAATATTGGTAACATTGAATAATGTCCAACAGGAAGTAGAGAAATGGGATCACCCTCTTCATAAAGAAGTTAAAAACAAAGATCGTAAAACACCTTGGCAATTGTTCAGGGAAGAGCATAAGCCCTTGCTTGAAGAAGCAAAGAATTGGATGAAGGATACATCAAACTCTTGTATGTTGGTGGCAACTCTTATTGCTACAGTTGTCTTTGCTGCTTCTATAACGGTACCTGGAGGAAACAACCAAGACAAAGGATTTCCATTATTCTTGTCAGATAACACATTCATGGTGTTCATTGTGTCGGATACATTAGCTTTGTTTTCCTCCATGGTTTCCCTCTTGATGTTCCTTTCAATCCTAACTGCAAATTATGCAGAAGAAGATTTTCTCAAGAGATTACCTGAGAGAATAATATTAGGTCTGGCATCTTTGTTCCTTTCCATAGTAACTACAATGATAGCATTTGGTGCATCTCTGGATTTGTTGCTAAGGGAGAGACTGAAATGGGTGTCAATACCAATTGCTCTTCTGGCATGTGTCCCGGTTGCTCTATTTGCAAGGCTTCAACTTCCCTTGTTCATACAAATGATCATATCAACTTATGGTTCTCGCATATATCATCATCAAAGTCTTTGGTGAGGCTTTTGTGTTGTCCCAGCATATGAAAATAGGACAAAGAATGGAAATCAAAACCATATAGTGGTGTCTTGATCTTTGGGATAGTCATCAACTTTAGTATTTGTTATTCAGTAAAAAGTCCGAACTTGGTTTTACGACAGTGAACGATACTGTAAATAGAATTTGCCCAAACTGCTCAGGGAAAGACTACCCGGTCTTCTAAAAACTTCTCACTAACGTAAGAGATAGCGAGAAAACGAACATAATAACTATTAACATTTATCGATTAAAAAGAAAAGCCCTTCACACTTAATACTTGGAATGTTACATGACATTGAATAGTAGTGTTAGTTGTATTAGTTAGTTGATTTGTTAAGAATGTTTTAGTTGCTTACATATTTTTCATTCAATCAAAATAACAATGGTATTTTTTTTATTCATGTTAAATTCATTATTTAGAGTTGTCTGACATTCTGTATCAAATCCACGTCACATGAATCTTTGTTCAAATTTCTTATATAAAGAACCAATTTAGAAGTTTTCCCCAAATTTGTTTAAAAAATACTACCATAATTGGTAACATATATTGCACACACCACAGTTTGAAAAACCAGCACATCAGCTAATAAACGTACATTATTTTGCCAGCCTAAAATAGGTTTTCCAACCAATCTTAATCACACAACCATGTTTCGAATCAAATAGCATGTTTATTTTTGTTGAACAAAGTACCAAATTAGCACATTTTTACACTATGAACATTCAAATCTCTAAATCCAATAATGTAAATCAGTATACCAAACTTATCTATCAGTGTGTTCGGAAATGAATAAATTCAAGGTTGATTCTGAGCATAGTTCATCTCGAAGAGGAAGGTAAAAAGTCAAAATAACTACCCATTTGAAGACTCTTTGGACACACATAAACTTACAAACTAAACTGCAAATGAAAACAATTCTAAAGCGAGAGTTTAATCCTCCCCCCTTAAATATGTCTGCTTTAAAGAAATAATGCCCTCCTCAACTTGATTTTGGGACATAAATCATGGATCCAAATTTTCTTCCGCAGTACACTGACTAAGCAGGATCAATTCACCCCAGGGCCCAGAACAAAATGAAAAACTTGTAGACATTACGGAAAATACAAGGTCAGAAAGTTAAATGCACTAGAAAATTGTAATGGTAGAGATAATCAATTTAAACAGGAGTCAGTATAAGTAAAGAAATAAAAGTTATTGGCCGTGTTTACACCCATAAACCCTTCCCTCCCAAAGGGTGTAGACGTCCTAGCAAAACTGATAATCTGACTTGATATTTAAGAGAGCTTAAAGAAATTCTGATACAAAGAGTTCGAAGTTAGACAATATATTACGCAGCACTCTTGCCCTTTTTCCTTTGAAGCTTCTTCATGTAAAATTCCAGCTCTTTGCCCTCTAATATATAACTGCCAAAAAATTCAGAAGTCATTAAGCACCAACAGCCAGAAACATAAAAAATTAAAGAATATTGTTCACTTGGCAAAACTATGAACTATAATTTCTTTTTCTTGTGAACTTTACAAATGAGCATCTGATGAAATGTCAATTTATTCTTGACGGCAACAGTACCAGACATGCTACTTCGGATTAGCTGATAAAATTGCTAATAAGGAATACCACTGATTTATATCAATTTCTTGCAATTTCTTTTTACCAGAGGTAACCACAACCATTTGAAGATCTCCTCAACACAACATGAGATCAAATTGTGAACATTTGACAGACTAAAATCCTTTATTTTTCAGCCCTATTAACATGTTTTAATTTCTAGGTCATCATATGTAATGCTCTTGCAAGATGCAAATGGTTTGATTGTTCCAGCTATGAAAAGCAATTATAAAAATTACTCTCACTGGAAAGCAGGAAAGCAAGCACTAGATACATCTCCGTTAGTTAATTGAGTACAAAGTAACAAACCCATCAGCACGGCCACATTGGCCAGGTCGGGATGAGATACAAGCCAGAAGGCGGCCACCTCCAAATTGTTCTTCAATGTGAGAATCAAGCACCCGGCTCTGTTGTCGCTTTTCCAATTTCCTCAAAACATGGTTACTCTTCTTCACATCCTCAGTTGCATTTTCACCATCCTGTGAAAGCAAAAACACTGAATGATGCAAATAAACAATAAGCAAGCAAAAACTAATATTTTTTTTTTAAAGAAAAACGAGAACCCAGTTTGCAAAAAATGATAACCCGTGCCTCAAGTTAAAGTTAACGATTTCATGTAGCATTAGCGACCCAGTTCCAGGACTCATTTAGATAATTTTTCTACATTGAGACTTCACAATCTTGAATAATTCAAAACGAGAATTATAAAATAAGCTTAGTTATATACATTGTCAGTGTAAAATATTTTTACATAGATATCCAGCCAGAATTTACCCTTTTAAAATGTCACCACCCTATATTTAGGAAATAGATAACGTGATAAAATTATCAAATCTCATTGAACGTCTACGTAAAACAGTTATACACTGGCAATGAATGAATATAAAATAAATTTTTATAAAACAAAAAGTGCATCATAACCAAACAAAGTGCACAGTGAACATACAGATAAAACAGAGCAACGAAACTGGACGAGACAATCATATTGAAATTGAACTGCTATAATCCACGCAATAAAGCAAAAGATGCAAGCTTCCAAGTTCCAACAACCAACATTTACACAGGGTTAATGGACACTAAATCTCATGCCGCAATTCAGCTAGTTAAGGAACTAAAACTGAAACTATAAGTAAACAAACATGTATTAGCACAAAAAGTAACTAACATGACGTACCTCTCCTTCCTTCTTTGCAGAAGCTGCACTCTTCTTCTTGCGACCGATGTCAACGCCATAATGCTGCAGATACCACTGCTTGAAGGGCGCTGCGTCGACCTGAACAATGGCGCTCTTCACCAACGTCTGAGTCCGAACAAGCTCATTGTTGGATGCATTATACACCACATCGAGAATCCTTGTTTTGCGAGTCACAGCCTCACTCCCCCAAGAATAGTTCCCAGTATCAAGCCTCAAAGCACGCCACTTCACATTCCCACCACGAACCCTAATCCTCCTAATCGTCTTGTTGCTTGATAGCTTTGTGTTTGCTGGCTGCCTCCCAAGCTCATACCTGCAATTGAACACACCCCATCAAACACAAAATAATCATTCATAAAAAACAGCATAACAAAAAAAAAAAAAAACATCTTTGGTTAAATTTAGCGTTTCACTCAGATAATCATTGAAATACTGACTTTCAACTCTAATTCTGACTAGATCCAAACAAATGGTAAAACACATAACATTGAACTATTTAAAAATGTAATCAATTAATTAATGAAGAATAATAATTAGTCAGAGTTAGAAGAATTTACTTTCTCTTCTTCCTCCAAGCTTTCTTCTTGCCACCAGTGGCGCGCCTCTTGTGCATGGAATCACGAGAGATACCTACGCAAATTCACATAAATCAGCATCATTATGTTATGAGAGAGAGAGAGAGAACGATAAAGATGAAACGTACCCATTTTGGAAGAGAATAACGGCGGTGCTGCTACGAACTCTGGCTAGTGACTTCACTCGTTCAGGTATGAGAAGAAGAAGAAGAAGAAGAAGAGAAGGACGGGTTAGGGTTAAGAACCCATTGGGCCACGTTGACACACGTTGAAATCAAAGCCCACTTAGTAGAACCCATCAAGAAACTCTTTTGTAAGTTCACTTTCAAATTTCACTACTATTAGCGGGAGTATTCATAGAAAAATGTAAGAAATATTATTTAATTATACAAAACATATACACAAAATTGAATTTAGTGGGAAGGAAAAACACAATATAAATTATACTTTGATTTATTAATGTTGTGATAAATAATGATTTTTACTTTCCAGTTCTTTTTTTTTTTCAAAACAGACTGTGATACTGTGAACAATTATATCTATGAAAAAAATAAACTTGAAATTGACGAAAATATATAATTTTAAATTTTAATTAAATCTACAAAATAAAAATTATACATAACTAAAATTTTTACTACACATTATTCATGATTAATTTTATTTTTATTTTTTATCATGAATGTATTTGATGAAAAAAAAGTCATTTATATATTTTGATTGTATATTAAAGTTGTTTGAATATGTTTTCAATTGTTAATGTATGATATATTTTTATTTTATTTTGAGTATTTACTATTTTTAGTGTTTGACTGTTTATATTTTTTAAAGGAATTAAATATATATTTATTTAATTTTTGACATCAAAATCTGATTTGCATTACAAATGGTGAGAGTAATATGATATTTGATTAATTTTTGTAAATGTAAGGGGTGAAAAGAGAAAAGAGCGGGTGAGAATAGCAGCACCTTGTTCACTCCTCCTGACTCTGTTTCCTGCAATAACCATATATGTTCATAGAAAACTCAGACCTTGAATTCTTGGTGCTTACAAGGCTTGAAAAGTTTATACCTTTAGGAATCTCAGGGATGGGTTTCTCAGTGGCAGCTTCGTTAGGTACTCATATTGCACTGAGAAGCACTCATGAAGCAAGAATCAAGGGCCATTTTTTGTTCAAAAAAGAGGAGAATAATAGAATCTGTTTCAATTTCTCAAAGCACAAGGCAATTCAAAGAAAAATTTCTCTCAGCAATCAAGAGTTCAGTGAGTTCGATGAGAGGAAGAGCCCAGACGAGGTAGCATTTACCATCTTGTTAATTAGTGCCTTTTGCTCTTTTGTTTATTTATTGGAACTCGTAAAAGTGGAAGCCCTTTTTGCGATATAAAAGTTTCTGTTTAGGTGGGTTGCTTAGAAGAGTAGGTACTAGGTACTAAACCCATGTAAACAGTGGGGGTGACAACTAATAGCTCTGTTATGTTTCAGTTCAAAGGGGGTGCCATTGGTAAGAATGTGTTCTATTTAATGTGTTTTTGGGAATATGCTGTTGATAATTGATAGAAGAATTGCCTGGTCTACAGTGATGGGAAGCTAGGAATTAGTATCTTGTTGAGTTTTTGTTTGTGGGTGAGATTTGACTACTTTTGTAGTAGAAGTTCATCTTCTGTGAATGTTAAGGTCGTGATACTTACGGAAGTCAGCTATGATAATTGGTATAAACTGATGATTTTACTGAGATCATAAGAGATGATTGTTTAGAGAAATTCTTCTGCTTGTACTGGACCTAATTGTTGAAAATATTGTCAAAAAAAGATGATAAGATTTTGTTGGTTGACATGTACAGAAGAATCCCAGAGTTTCAAATTTGAATTGAATTACATTTGACCAAATAAAAGAAAGATGAATTACACTGGATGCTTACCTTTTTTCTTTTTTCTTTTTTTTTTTATCCTACATTTTCTATCTAGAAAGTAATTCGTAACATGATCTGTATCTAGAAGGTTTCGTGTTGGCTAGTCATGAAACTCATTTTTTAGTTGGGCTTTAATAGTTTTTGGCTTCTAACATGTCTAGTCACCTTGCTATTGTGCTGCCTCAGAGAGAATTGGTTCTTAAATTTGTTTGCAATTTTTATTTTTTATATTTTTTTCTTTCTTCCACTTGGTGGATAGTGTTATTGATTATATAATAAATATGCAATAGATGCAATACAAGATGCAATTGATGATGCAGTGTTTCTTGACATAGGGTATATTCTATCTAGTTTCGACTTGGGATATATTTCTGGCTTAATGAGGCAGGTAACTCTCTAAGGATTTTTGGACTTAGTATTTCAATCTCTGGTCCTATAACTAGTGCAACCCCTAGATATTTGATGCAGCTCTATGAAGCAATGCTGAAATAATAGTTGATGAGGATATGACCTATGACAAGAGTTAGAATAAGGGAAGCAAAGGAAGTTATTCAATAAGTATTGTCCATATTATTTGAATACAAGCCCAACCCACATTTCAAGGAGAAAAGACCAAAGTTGTGAATTACATCATATCTCAAATGGAGAAGGATTAATGTGTCACTTTGTTTCAGTCTTTAAATTTATTTAAATAATGACTCAATCCTTTGTGAAAATGGTGGACCAAATTATGTTTTGGATTAATCAATTAATGAACTTTAGTTTGATTTTATTTCAAAATTGTAAGAAGGGCCCAATTGGAAACTTAGGTATCAGCTTTTGGGAGACCAAGAGGATGCATAGCTGATTGACTTTTAGTTGCCACAATTTCAATTACAATCAACCATTAAGTAATTTTCAATTCCTAGGTTAATGAATCATTATTAACATTTATTTTCCTTTAGTGAATCTTTGTATATCTGATAACAAAGCTTCTTTATAAGCTGAATCATTTTTATCAGAAATAACAAGTGGAATTTTATTCAGAAATATTAGAGTTTATCTCTTTTATCTTAGTGAGATTGATTTTCCTAAATTCTTGAGTGATTTAAGAATCTTTGCCTTTATCAAAGGACTTTCACATCTTTTGTGAGTTGTCTCCCTTAGAAAGAACGATTCTTTCCTTTCACCTTATCACTAAATTTCTAAATTTCCTACAAGATTCTAACCCTAAAGATCTTAAATCACCCCTTGTGCAATTATCAATTAGGTATATTCTATCTAGTTTCGACTTGGGATATATTTTTGGCTTAATCAGGCAGGTAACTCTCTGAGGATTTTTGGACTTAGTATTTCAATCTCTGATCCTATAACTAGTGCAACCCCTAGATATTTGATGCAGCTCTATGAAGCAATGCTGAAATAATAGCTCAAGCTTTTGGTTAGAAATTGTGTAATAGCAGGGACCACTTGTAATTATTACATATTATAGTTTCACTAGCAAAGCACTTTACATGGACTTTTTCTATGTCATTCATGTGTTCGCTCTTGTCTAACTTCATGTCAAGAATTTTTGTAGTCTTTTTTAATTCCAGTGAAAATCCTTTCTCACTTTCTTATTTTCTGTTTTTTAATACTACCAGGTCAGAGCAGAGATTAAAAATTGTTATGAACTCATAAACAGATTAGGGAGAGGAGTTGTGTATCTGGGTTCTTCAAGGATGGGACCCAGCCATTCACATTATCTGCAAGCACAAGAGCTAGCTAAAGAGGCAAGTAAATTCTTACAATAGCTTCCTGCCTCTTTTTTCAGCTTACTTGCTGGGGGGTATTGTATAACACTTGGTACCTAATAATTATATTGTTCTGGAATTAACAGCAGTGGTTGTTATAAATTATGATTATTTTTTCATATATCTTGCTGTGTAGATAGCAAATCTTTTGGACTGCACTTCTTGGTCAGGGGCTGGACCAGGGCTAATGGATGCTGTCACTCAAGGTGCCATGCTAGCAGGAAAACCAGTTGGTGGATTCAAGATAGGAAAAGAAGCTGGTGAATGGACAACATCAAACTTTCATCCGTACTTACCATCAGAAAATTATCTTACCTGCAGGTAATCCACATTTGTTGATCAATAACTTCTATTGACATAAATGCAAATGGTTGCTTAGATTCTTTTACCATTTGACCTCAGGTTTTTCTCAGCTAGGAAGCATGGACTGGTGGACGCTGTAGTGAGGAACAATTCATTTGATAAGACTGCTGTGGTTGCCCTTCCTGGTGGGATTGGTACTTTAGATGAGGTGTTTGAGATACTGGCATTGATTCAACTGGAACGGATTGGATCAAAGTTTCCTGTTCCCTTGCTCTTGATGAACTATGATTCATTTTACTCAAAGCTGCTTGATTTTTTAAATGATTGTGAGGGTTTGGGAACTGTCTCCAAAGGAGAGGTTGCATCATTGTGGAAGGTTTGTAACAGCAACTCAGAAGCTTTAGCATACCTAGAAGAATTCTATAGCATTTCTTCTATTGACAAAAGTAAGAATGTAACTAAAATATATAGCACGTATGAATCACCATCCTCTTAAGATTTATTTTCTTTCCTTTTCTTTCTCTAAAGGGCTTGAACTGTAGAATCTCCTGGATTTATAACACTGTGAACAGTCACTTTCTTGGATATGGGTATGCATGTATTTGAAGACTAAATGGTTCAATAGGAGGGTAGTTGATCACTTAGTTTGTTGATGGTTTTAGTTATTGATAATTTCTCTATAAATAGAACACCACACCATTGTATCTCATTTATCCTCTTAAGACATTTCCAGTAGAAGAAATTCATATGAATTGTTTCTGACTTTAAAAAAATATAAAATATGGATATATTATACCACATCATTCTTAAGCAACTATTCATTTATTTTACTTTAATATAAACTTTCTTAATAAATTTTAAAGAACTTATTCTTTTTTTCTATTCTCTTTTTTCATTTACTTTGTTTTGTTTATTTTTGAAAGTTCCTTGATGAAATATCTAAAAAAAAAAATTTAAGGAACCATACAAAATTCTTTTAAAAGAAAGTTGTTTCAAGCAACTAGTATTTTATTTAAGTATCTCAATAAATAACTCCAATTGGAGATGTTCTTAGT